CTGCGCAAATGGCTAGTCTCTGTTATGCCTGGCCGCCGTGACCGAAATGAATTCTAAAAAGACATTATGTATTGTCCACAAGTTTATATTTGTGTTCACCGACAACTTTTAGTTTTACGCGTACGAAATCATCAAAACAATAAGCCTACGGAAGCGCTTGTGAAACGATATTTTATCTCACTTAACTATTCTATTATAGTTAATGAAGTAAAACAATAGAACGCAAAGTGGTCCCTCGGGACTCATTAGAGTACAGTGTACATTTGGGAACGACAGTTTGCGTTTCCTTAATCGACTCCCGAGTGATACGGAGGCGGATTAATTGCGAGATTAAGTCGACCCGACACTACTGGTGCAGTACACGCACATACTCAAGGTTGTATAGTAAATTATTTTTTTTATATAGAATAAGGCTGACATCGAGCACACTGTCCATGTAGTTGTAAGTTAATTAAGTAATCGAAAATACATCTATTCTCGATTAAAAATCAAAATCAAATGCAGTCGTCACCCCTGAGGTCTAAGATGGAATGCCTCGTTTCTAGTTAGATGGATCTCCAGTTCTCTACACTTACTATACGAAACACAGCAGCATTAACTCTCTAAAACTCTTTCGTGCTATAACCATAATCAGCTGCAGTATGGCTCTACCATGCAAAGAAGGTACTCAAAATCATTAATCCAATAATGCCGTTTTAGCTAGTAGCTATGAAAGGCATGCTTAATAATGATGTGAATAACGATGCTATGGCTCCAAGCCATAATATGGTGACTTAGAGATCTTCAAGAAAAGAACCTACTCCTTTCTAACCCGGTAAAGCAGCTGCAATTCCTCTAGTGTTTAGTTATTGTATAGTTACTCCTTTTCTACCCAGATATCGGTATCTGTAAGAAAGAAATGGCAACCACTACTATAAGGTTTGGTAAGAGAGTTATATAACTCTCTTACCAAATTTTTTTATTCCTTTCTTTCTTTCTTCCTTCCTTTCTTTCTCATTTTCTTTCTTCCTTTTCTTTTCGTCTTTTATTTTAAACTTGTTATACCATAACCATTACAGTCTATGGAAAGTCCACTGCTTAACATAGAGCATAGACCATCCCCATAGATTGTCTGTGTCATAGTAACTGCAGTTTTTTTTTAAATTCAGCTGTTAATATAACCAATCAGATATTACTTTGCGAAAATTCGTTATAATAAATATGTTAAAATTATTTAGGTAAGATTAGTTTAAACGATTAAAATGAAATGTCCTGGTTTGTAGCGCACCGTCCTCCCTCAATTGCGTGCACTATCCCCGTCACCACTAACTTCAACACCACAACACTAGGAAAGACACACCATTGTCGATAATACGACACGTGTTTCGCCCCTAAACGAGGAACCATCAGGAGCCAAACTGACTGACTAGCTATCGTCGACAAACGAGTATTTTACCTGACGATTTTAACATCTTTATTCAGCTGTGTACCAGCAAGGTGCTGCTGCCCATTTTCTAGTTCAGTTATCCTCTGTTGCCTCTTAAAACTCCTGGGAAATGTTATTAAGTCCTATTAATGTGATCTCACGGTTTTCATTACTATAATCATCGAGTTTATACTGAAAGTCGTAAATTAACTAACGCAAACTTTAAATAAAATTTTTAATGTGTCATAACCGAAGAGTACAAATAAGCAAGCTAACTAGTGTAGGTATTGAAAACTTTTAGAAATAATTAATGTTACTACGAAATGAAATGTCGACTAATTTAATTACATAAGCATAAGTTGCTGTATATAATAATTATTTAGGGGATGAATAATGATAATTTAACCCACTTTTTTAATTTTATAGCTGTAAAATTTCATAGTACGCGAGCAACCCGGGTTCGTTCCCCACCGGCACCATGAAATTGTTTATTGCAATTTTAAGTGCTGATTTACCACGTGCTCGGCGGTGAAAGAAAACATTGTAAGGAAAACTTGCACGTCTCGCGAAGTACGCCAACACGCATGGGGACAGTAACGAACGTTTCCTCGCCCTAAAAACCCTCTCAGAAATGAGAGGAGGCCTGTGCCCAGCAGTGGGACGTATATAGGATGTAACTTTAACTTTATATTTGAATAGATGACATTTTTATTTATTTGACCTATTCTTTTTTTCTCAATATAGACGTATATAAAGGCGCCATTACGAAATGTTTTGTCATGGGTATCATTGCACGATGTTTTTCACTTATATTATAACTCGTCTAGGTTTACGTTTTGTGAATATTTTCTAACACCTATACTGAGGATCATGGAGGGATATATAGTTCGAGAAATTACGACACATTTTTTTTATTTATTTATTTATTTATATACATCCAACTTATATCTAACATTACAGGTTTCTACCCAATGCGATAGATAAAGCACTATCTACAATCATATATTACCTATATTACTATACTACCTTATAACTAATTATCCATAAAGCCAGTTTTTATTTATTTATTTATTTATATACATCCAACTTATATCTAACATTACAGGTTTCTACCCAATGCGATAGATAAAGCACTATCTACAATCATATATTACCTATATTACTATACTACCTTATAACTAATTATCCATAAAGCCAGTTTTGTGAATTCGTTCAGAGTACAAAAGAATCTGATTTTCTGTCGATCAGGTTTAGTGTTCGAAAAGCTCGCGTCAACGGTGCCTCTCGCAGTAAGTTAGTGCGACATCTAGGGACGGCCAGTAGGTCTGGCTGACGCCGCCGCCATACATATCTATCCGGAACATAAATATTAATCTTCTTCAACATATTCTCATTAATAATTTTACCCCTAAGGACCATAAAAATATATGAAACTAGTCTAAGTTCTCTCCTTACCCTGAGCTGATTGTACCCTACCATACCCAGAACGAATAATGTGGGGTATTGCAGTGGGTAAAAAGGATACACCCCATATAACTTGAGATACAAATACCTTACAAATTTGTTTTGTACCTTCTCTAGCATTAGATCGTACTTCTTCTCATGTGGAGCCCAAATTATTGAATTACACTCCAAATGACTCCGAACTAGTGTGTTGTACAAAGCTATAATAGCTTTCACATTTGTGAAACCGTTAACCGTTCGTAACGTAAAACCTAGAGTTCTAAAAGCCTTTTTACATGTATCAACAATATGATCCTTAAACGTTATATCAGCAGAAAATTTTACTCCTAAATCCATGACTTGCATTACCCTAGAGATAGGTGTCCTGTCAATGTAATATGTATACCCTATGGGCATATGTTTGCGCGTGAAAGATATTGTTAAGCATTTAGCGGTATTAAATTGTAATTTGTTGTCTTTGCTCCATTCAACAACTTTATTTATATCGTCTTGGAGACTATCACAGTCCTCCAAACTACCTATATTCATCGATAACTTAAGGTCGTCCGCAAATAATAAGCATTTTGATTTCTTCACAACATTGGGTAAGTCATTTATCATGATTAAAAACTCCAAAGGTCCTAGATTCGACCCCTGACTCACACCAGACCAGGTAAAATATGGTTTTGTCTTATGACCCTCATATGCTACATACTGTTGCCTATCTGTCATGTAGCTAGCGAAAAATCTCAATAAGTGTGGGGTGAAACCAAATTTTGCCATTTTTTTTAGTAATATGTCATTATTTACCAAATCAAATGCTTTTTTGAAATCAAAATAAGCAGTATCAGCTTGTCCCCCACTATCTACTACTGGTATTATATCGGCCATAAGCTCTAGAAGGTTACTCGCAGTGCTCCGAGCAGGTCTGAACCCGTGCTGCGCTTCCGATAGCTGTGTGTTTATCTGTTGATATAAGCTTTTGTATATAGCCGACTCAAATACCTTGGCTGGAGTAGACAGCACTGCTACCGGTCTAAAGTTCTCTACACTGGTCGCTATATTTCCTTTTGGAACGGGAACCACCTTCGTTATTTTCCATTTTTCTGGAAACCTAGCTTGGTTTAAACAGTTATTGTAAATGTGAAGTAGTGGTTTTGCTAGCGCAGAATGGCAATCTTCAACATCTTCTTCAAAAACATCTTCTCGTCAAACCCTGAAAACGAGATTGTACAACCATTAGGTTTTGCCAGTGATGATTTATGGACCTGAAACGTGGTCCTTCACTGCTTGCCGTATGAGGACGTTCAAGGTCGCTCAGCGAGCTATGGTTGGGGCTATGCTCGAGTTTTCTCTGCGCGATAAACTTAGAAATAAGGATATCCGCAGTAGAACTAGTGACTGACATAGCCCAACGGATTAGTAAGCTGAAGTGGCAATAGGCCGGCCATATAGCTCGAAGAACCGACAACCGATGGAGAAAAAAGTTTCTCGAGTGGCAGCATCGTACTGGTAGGCGAAGTGTAGGGCGATCCCCCACTAGATGGAGTGACGACCTGGTGAGACATGCAGAAAGTCGATGGATGCAGGTGGCTCAGAGGTCTATATTCAGCAGTAGACTTGTGAAGGGCTGTAATGATGATGATGATGACACTGAGAATCATTGTGTTTTTATAACATGTTTAACTTATTTATTTTAATTTTATTGACTAGAACGTAAAGAAATATGTTTGTATACCACACTGTAAATATACATACACGATACCTACTGTCAATTTTCTAACACCTAACTCACTGTATTCACAAATAAATAAATGAATTTGAATTTGAAAATTCAATTATAATTATTTATTATTAGAACCGTAATATACTAAAAACATAAAATCGATACAGCCAAGGTGAACTTCGATTTGATGGAAATGTACTCAAATTAATTGATACTGCCAATGCCAGTAGATCAATTCACAGGGGAATCCAACACCGCAGATATTTAACTATTTGTCACTTAACCGCTCTCATTCGTAACGATACCTAATACTCATTGCGAAATATAGTATCGTATTTCATTTCAATCGATAATATATACCGATACAACACTTACGATTAATCACATTTAGTTCGGTTATCAAAACAAACACATCGACATCTCAAGATGGTTCAGAAGCTAGCTATTTTTTCTGGACTCATTGTATCTGCTACTTGCATGGTGCTGCACCTGGCGCCATCACCAGAGTACTTTCCAATCCAGTATCAAGAGCAGCCACCAAACTACAACTTCGCTTATGAAGTCAACGACCCTCACACCGGAGACTTCAAACGCCAGCAGGAGAGTCGTAGAGGTGGTACTGTGTTAGGCCAGTATTCCCTTCTGCAACCTGATGGTGTGACGAGAATTGTCAACTATAGAGCAGATGATCACACCGGATTTAAAGCAGTGGTGAACAACGAGGGAAGACCTAATAACGCACCTTCTGACGAACAAGTTGAGAATGATAATGTCGCATCTGAAAGGCAACCCAATGACAGGCCTCAAGTGGAGGAATCTTGGCAGACCCCTGATGACCAGCAGGCGACTCCGACACCTTTGACTATTTCACACACTTCACTTATCCATAGAGCATACTTAAACGCAAGAACCTAAAGAAAACAGTGAAAAAAAGCAAAGACCCGCAAAGTATGTTGTTTTCTGTGATCTATGTACTATTTAAAATTTTATAATTTTTTTTGTAAATACATGCATTATGAAAATACCTATTTTCTGACAATTTCTTCAAATCTCATACTAAAAAGTTAAATTGCCATACGGCACTACTTCCAGCGATATAGTGCCGGGAACGCTGGTTGCGTTTCCTCGGTGAATGGCTATACTTAGCCATTGAGCGAGAAAGGAACCAGCCCTCTTATCACCTGCGGCGACGGCAAGTCGCGGATACATTTCCTTAAAAATGCTTAATGGTCTTCACTTTAGTTGGCAACTCCTCGGAAGGAAACACCCGGACAGTAGACTGTCTCTTAGTTTCCGGATTATAACAATAAACTCAACTTTCGTCACCCGTAAGTATGACGAACACAGCATTTGAGTCACCTCCGTTAAATCTTTGAACCATTTCACGACACCAATCAACACGACGGAGATTTTGGGCCTGTGTCAAATTATGAGGTATCGACTGGCCACAAAGCTTCCTGGCCCCTAAATGTTCATGGAGGATTTTGTGCACTTGACTCATACCGATGCTTGTCCGAATCTGCTGATAAGTCACTCTTTTGTCAAGTCTCTATCATACGCCGCACAACACTGATGTTATTTTCAGTCGTTGCCGTAGAAGGCCGTCCCTCACGCAGATCATCGGTGAGATTAGTGCGATCACGTTTAAAATCATTAAGCCAGTTGTAAAAAGTGGCACGAGATGGGGCTTCGTCGTAAAGGCCAATCGAAGTCTATCATAACTCAGTTGTAAACAGTGGCACGAGATGGGGCTTCGTCGTAAAAGACCAATCGAAGTCTATCATAACTTTCTTGTTGACTTAGTAACATCGAAAGGCATAAAAAATCATTGTACGAAAATGTTCTCGCGTTAAATTCATGCTGACGTGACACAGACAATTTTCGTAAATCGTAAACCAATTAAAAAATACATAACATACATACACAATAATATTGGCATAGTTCCATTTTCAAAATTTGAACTTATTTTTTTATTATATCGGCTACAAGTGGTCAGTTTTAAAAACTTTCAGTGTCGCCCGTTCTTTGAGGTTAGCTGCAAATATTTTTTTATTATTCTAAGCCATAGCTTGACTACTATCCCACCTGATGATAAGTGATGATGCAGCCGAAGATGGTAAAATGCACTGATCCAACATAAGTCTATTTACTCTTGCCTTGATTACACCCACATTAACTACAGTAGCCACTTACTAATAATTATATAATATCCAGACCGAGTTTCGATCACAGCGGCCAGTCTCAAAGGAAATGAGGCTAGCCATGTGCGTGGGACAGGACTCGCTCTCATAGACCTATGGGACGGTTATCCGACACGACCGGAGAGTGATTCTCAGGTGCAGCACCTTAGAGGGGGTGAAACACCGCCAACTTCCTGACTCCGGGCTGCTACTGAGAATTTCTTGATAGAAAAACCCAATTACAAATTTTTCGGCCCGACCCGGGATTCGAACCCAGGGCCACATGATCAGTAACCATTTCCAATTTCCATTTTCAACGAGGCAGCCACTTATTATTGGGTGGACTATTAGATTCTCACTACTGTTTCAGCTAGTATATATATATATATATATATATATATATATATATATATATATATATATATTTAGTTTGACCGCGATGAACTTCTAAACTACTGAACTGATTTCAAGGAAATTTGCACTCTCTGTGCAGTTTGGTCCAACTTGAGAGATAGGATAGCTTTTATCCGGATAAGTGACCCTCACTTTTTTTTATTGTGAATTTAAGGATTTTTTTAGTACACATGGTCGTCGGAAAGCGCAGAACGTCTGCCTGGTCAGCTAGTGTATTTCATATATATATATATATATATACAACACCACGCATTGACCACGAGCTGTGATGATCCTGACAGTTATTTTATTTTATCCTGGTAATCTATGCAAGCTATGAAATTATTGTATTAATCATACGTTCTTAATATGAATGCATGCTTGATATGATTTTAATTATATCAATTAGCCCGTTACATAGATTATTATAGATATATAGATACACGCGAAGCTAACAAAAGATATCTTGTGAGTTTAGCGACAAGCACAATGCGCTATCAAGTGAATATTACATTACATTTCAATTTCTTGATTCAAAACAAATGAATATCGTTTCAACGCTCGCGTTTACTTGAAACGTAACTCCATAATCGTGTTTGGGAAATTTCAGAGAACAAAGCCCGGAATTGATTACAGCGAAGTGGAAGTGAATTGTGAGGTGAATTACTTAATTTCCTTTTATCGTGATTTGAATTTTATGCTTCGAGACGAAACTTGATATTTTCATTTGCAAAGTACAAAGTAAGAGAAAACTTTGAAGGTTGTACTCGGAACGCTGTGCGAATTGAAGATCCGTGATCTGAAGTAGCATTGAAACGATCATTCGGCTCGCAGAACAGGAAACAATGGGAAAAATTCGCAAAGTAATCTTATTATGCAAACTCAGTTTAAGAAAGTCCTTTAGTAGATGAAGTCTGGCTTAATTGTACGATATGTGACTGTCTCATTAGTCTAGTGGTCGTAAGCGCGTCTACTGATTATGTGGTCCTCGGTTCGAATCCTGAGTCTGGAGTTATTGGATTTTTCTGGCGAGAAGTTCTTAGTAGCAACCGATAACCAACAAATTGGTCCTGCGCCTTATCTCTCCGGTCGCATTGGATTGCCCTCCCATGGACAATAAGAGTAATGAAATACAGAGTGCACCTGTGCTTACATACTTTCGTGTACTATAATTCTGTCTTGTGCGAATGACTAGTCTTTGGTGAGACTGATCGCTGTGACTGAAAATCAGTCGGAGATATTAGCGATAATAGAGTTCTTACCTATCCAGATCGACTCATAGGCAGAAAAATGTGTCCTGGTGGGACTCCTACTATATTAGTAAAATATAAATTTATTACTACAACATAATGAACAGTGTAAGGTTTATGTTATGAAGTTCGACTTACACCTGAGTGAGGCTAATTTCGCTTGGAAAACTCGAGGTATTTTTATATTACTCTGCCTTGGTACATAAAACTCAGAAGTTTTGAGCACTTTTAAAAGTTTCTTCGTACGTTTTTATATTGTGTTTCTTTTTTAACTGACGCGTAGGGATGAGTCTAAGTGGTACTTGAGTTTACAGTAAGAATATCTACATCGTCGCGTATTAGAAATATATGTAGGATCATTAATTGCGTACAATGCTGCAGCTATATTATTGTAGCAAAAATGGATCGGCTCGACCTGGGTAGAACCACGCTCTCACAGAATACCAGCGTAAAATAGCAGCCCAATGTTTCGTATAGTGAGTGTAGAGAACCGGAGATACTTTTTACTGGACACGGGCATTCCATGTTAATCCTCAATGTGAAAAAAAAATAATAAGCACCCACGGGACGAATTGGGCGGATGGATTTTTGTACGCCACCACTACAGGGCCCATATAATAATCAATAACTTAACTTGTAACGCTGCTGTGTTTCGTATGGTGAGTGTAGAGATCCGGAGTCCCTTTTTACTAGAAAATAGGCATTCTATCTTAGTCCTCACAGCTGACAACGCATCTGCATTTTAATTCGCAAACGAAGATAGATGTAGATGTCTATGGGTCACAGCAACCACTTACCATCAGGTGGACTGTGTGCTAGTTTGTCACCCTTATTTCTATAAAAAAAAATACGTTTATCAATAATAATATACTACGAAAGAAACTTCGTTCCAACCGAGTGTTCCACGTACGTAGTTTAATATTCTTCTAATAGTATTTTAATAATTTCGTCGATAAGGTCCTCCTTTACTAATTCCTTCTTTTACACGTCTTATGCAGGAAGTTTATGGAAGCAGGTGCCTTAGGAACGTGCTTTGTGGCTTTCCTTGGGGGGGGGGGGGTGAGGCCTTTGTTCAGCAGTGGCCCTGTGAAGGGCTGTAATAATGATGATGATGATTTTGATGACTATTCTTTCCCTTTTCTTGATTACTTGTTGCCCCCGTGAAGTAATTTCTTTATTTCGACATTTTGTTTTTTTAGAAAGTTTTATGATTATTTTGGACTGAAATAAGTAAAAGAAATGCTAATATAATAAATACATATATATATATATATATATATATATATATATATATATATATATAATAAATAAAAAGAACGGCAACATTTCAGATAAAAGTGATGTTATACAATATAAAAATCAGTACCCTGGAAACACTTTAGCCCTCTGATGCGATATCAGTCACAGGACTGACGCCAAAGTTTTTTTTTTTATATTGCTCAGAACCCTAATTATTTTATATAGGATGAGGGTGACAAACGAGCACACAGTCCACCTGATGGTAAGTGGTTGCTGCGGCCCATAGACATCTACATCTATCCTTTATTACAAATCAAAATGCAGATGCGTTATCACCCGTGAGGACTAAGATGGAATGCCTCATTTCCAGTAAAAAGGGCCTCCGGCCACCTGCACTCACCAAGTGAAACGCAGAGGTAAACCTCTACTTCACGCTGGTATTCTGTGAGGTCGTGGTACCACCCCGGTTCGAGCCGGCCCATCCGTGCGACAGCAAAAGCTGCCGCGTGGCTCTGCCACTGTTAAAAGTTTACCAAAGGAACTAATGTTTCTTTCGATATTCTCGATCTCATCGTTACAACACTTATTACCAAAAAAAAACACAATTTGTGGATTTACATTCGAGTCTTACAAAGTTTCTAAATCCATTGCCTGAAATAGACCTTTGAAGAAAGCGCCAGAAGGCATTCTTGAAAGGGTTGTCACTATTCAGCACGCTGGTCAAAAGAATCTGTGAGCACAGAGTTGACGTAATCGAAGTCTGTGGGATTTGTTTCCTGTATTTTTGAATGAACTTTGCGTAATCGAAATCAGAGTCTCGTCGATATCGTATTCTGACCGTCATTATTACAGCCTTTCCCAAATCCACTCTGAACATAGACCTTCGCCAAGGTAAGCTAAAAGACCTCAACAGTAAAATTAGATTTAATTTAACAATTGACAGTAGTCGAATTACCGATATGCATCAAAGCATTAAGTTAATATCGGCTAAGCTACTGCATATTATATTGCAAAATTCGGTGTTGTATATCACTTTTTTCCAATATATATACCAAGACTGTTTAATAATTTTAACATTCACAAATCAACAGTGCTAAGATCAAAACATCTGGCGTAACCTACATCAAGATGATTCGGAATCTTGGATTTCTTTATGGATTGATCGTGTCGACCAATTGTATGGTTCTGCACCAAGCGCAATTTCCCGTGTACTTACCGATCCAGTATCAAGTGCAGCCGTCGAACTACAACTTTGCTTACGAAGTTAACGATGCTCAAACTGGAGACGTCAAACGACATCAAGAGAGTCGCAATGGAGACACTGTTCTGGGTCAGTACACTCTCCTGCAGCCTGATGGTATTACAAGAATAGTTGACTACCGAGCCGATGACCAAACAGGATTTAACGCTGTTGTAAGGAATGAAGTTAAAGCTACTAATGCGCCATCGGAAAAACAAGAAGAGAATGATAATAATGGGTCTGAACGACAAACTGATGGAAGGCATCAAGAAGAACAATCTCGACAGTCTCCAAACGATCAACAAGTGACAACATCGCCTGTACCCTTAACGCGTACTTCCCTCATCCATCGATCGTACACTAGTGGTCATAACTCTTGGATTTAAATATACCTAAAACTAAAATACTTAAGCTCCAACCGACGAACCATGCAATGTCCATAAAATGATCTAATCTCTTCTAAATTTCTTTTATAATTTAAAATTAGAGTGGGTGGTGGCACGAAGAGATTGCTGTGATATAAGAAAGTATACAAGACCTCATTTGGAACGAATAGTGAAGTGAATGACAACAGTATATGATTAAGTGGATCCTACATACCTTGTACCTTTTATATCTTTTTTATTATATGATGTGCAAAGCAAATACTAATCTTTTATGATTTATACAATACCATACCGTATCAAAGGTGTAGAGGCGGTGTAAAAATATCCACTAACCCATATTGTCTTGTCGGTGGCCACGGAGGCAAAAAACCAGGAGATGGGCTACAGCGTCCTCTTAGTGACAAATATAAAATAAAAAAACCGGCGTTTGCCAACGTGTCTGCTAAGTGTGGCAACTATGGCAAATACTACTATGGCACTTTTGAATGGCTGTAACGGTAACAACGACGACAACACTATTACAATTGCAACGACGGTAACAATACTGTCGTTTTACTTAATACTTTTGGCTGGGGTATATATCAATATTTCTATTTCGAAAGCTTAAAAACAAAGGTCTTGGCTGTGTGAGTTATATTAACTACTTACCGACTATTTTCTACCGACTTCAATAAGGAGGAGGTACTCAATTCGACTGTATGTTTTTTATGTGTGTTACCTCATAACTTTTTCTGGGTGAACTGATTTCGATGATTCTTTTTTTATTTGAAAGCTCATATGATTCCATGTAAATTTGATCAAGGTCTGATCAATAGTTTTTAAGTTAACCTTAATAATTTATATTGAATTCGGTTGTACAATTTTTTTAATTTTAAATTGTAACTATAACTTCTTAAACAAAGACTTTTGCTGTACCACCATCAGCATATAATTGGTAGTTCAATTAATCAATTTTAATATCATCATAAAAAATAACACTGAAGTAGTGCACACATTTGAATCACCGCAGCCTTACTACAAGTATAATTAATAACAAAAATGAGTTACATAAAACCTTGTAAAAATTTGTTTTGTACGTTTTTTATAAAAGGGTGACATACAAGTAAACAGTACACCTGATGATAAGTAGATGCTGTGATCAGTAGACAGACACCTATTTCTAGATTAAAAGCCAAACGCAGATGCACGCACTGAGGACTAAGATGGAGGAATTTCTCGTCTCTCTCTCCTGATCCGTAAACTTATGACCACCTTTATCACATTGAATTGCTTATAATTTATCTATAAGATTGTTCTTCTTTCCTTTTCTTCCAACAACAATACCCCTACCATCAAGCAATATAAGGGAAACCTGTTATTGGCCATACTTTTAGTTTGTTACATTATGTTAATATTTACTATATACGCTGTTGGTTTTCTAAATAAATTAAATAAATAAATGCTGCAATTTTGCACGCTGGTATTTCTAGAGAGCATGGTCCGAGCGAGTGGACCCACTCGTGCAGCAACTGTAATACAGCTGATTTTATTCAATTATTGGATCATTTATTATTTATGGCCCACGAAAAGTCCTCTGTTAAACATAGACCTCCCACATAGATTGCCCCATATTTTCCATAATTGACATGTTTTGCAGACGCATTATTATTCATGCATCCATTACAGCTTATAATAGTGCACCGCTGTACATAGGCCTCCTCCATAGAGTGCTTCATAGGGAGGATTTGGCCATAGCTGGCACGCTTGGCAGGTGGGTTAGTAACCGCAGAATTTAATATTTATATATATGCGATCATTAAGGAGTATGTTAGGCATAAATCTGAATAACAGAGTGAGAAATTGCGTGATAAGAGAAGAGTGTGGTTTGCAAGATGACGTTGTGACCAGGATTAAGAAAGGAATGCTTCGGTGGTTTGGTGAAATAATGAATGTAATGAAATATATGAAATACATGTAGAAAGAATGAATGAGGAAAGAGTGACAAAGCAAATTATGTTGCAGTGGTGAACGGCAGAGTCGGGAAGGGACGCCCTAGGCGAAAGTTTATCGACCAAATTGGCGATATATTGAAATGGGCCAAATCAAGAGTACCTTTAACCGAAAAGCGTGTATGGGTAGGTATATGGATGTGGAGGAAGCGAGAAGGGTGTGTCAGGATCGTGCCAATTGGAAGTCCATAGTCTCTGCCTACCCCTCTAGGTTACAGTCGTTAGTGTTTATGTATGTATGTATGTTTACATTTATAGTTATCAAGGAAGATGCTGCTGCCCATTTCTTTTTTTTTATAGGATTGGGTGACAAACGAGGACACAGTCCACCTGATGGTAAGTGGTTGCTGTGGCCCATAGACATCTACATTTATCCTGGTTTGTGAATCAAAATGCAGATGCGTTGTCACCCGTGAGGACTAAGATGGAATGCCTCTTTTCCTGTAAAAAGAAACACAGCAGCATTAAGCTGCTATTTTACGCTGGTATTCTGTGAGAGCGTGGTCCTTCCCTGGTCGAGCCGACCCATTCGTGCTATAACTATACTACTAATATAGCTGCAGCATGGTTCTACCACGTGTTAAAGTCTTGTTTTAGTTTCCCTCTGTCGCCTCTTACGACACCCACGGGATGATATACGGAGTTATCACGTGGCGTAAAGGTTCTTCTTGTTAATATGCTTTTATTAAAATTGTTTCCTGTTCCTTATGAACTAGCCTCCCTTTTGCAACTAGTACTCGCAAGGAAAAGCTCAACTTTCTAGTAATCGCTTTTTAAAACTTTTATATAATACGCTTTTATAATAGAGGTCTTGAACGGTGAGACTCCGTCTAGACACGAGGTCGGAGCAAATTCTAGGATAAGTGTGCGGTTGTGAAGTGCTCTTAAGTGAAGTCTAGAATGAACTTTTTGCATTATTTTTAACGCAAGTCTTTCTATATATACTTCATATCAGAGGCTAAATACTCTATACACCGGCCGTGTCAATATTTCTCAAGAAAACGTCGCCGAGTACCGGATCAAATTTGTGTCTTAAGACTCGACGTCTTTGCTGAACGAAGTCTCGGATTGGGGGCGACTAAATCTAGTCCAGTTTAATCCTCAGAAGGCACAAGTTTGCACGTTTACCACTAAAAAGCACCACTTTGTCGTATCTCAGTTTCAAGGCACTGTCCTTGTTGCCTCAGCCAGTATCAGAATCCGCGGCGCCGACATATCGAGTGGCGTGCAGTTTCGTGATCACTTGGAAAAGAAGGCCAAATTGGCCTCTAAAAAGCTTGGCGTGCTCAGCAAAGCGGGACAGTATTTCATGCCGGCACGCCGCCTGCAACTTTACAAGGCGCATGTTCGGCCTCACATGAAATACTGTTCCCATCTCTGAGCTGGGCTCCCCAGTCCCAGTTCCTTCCACTTGACCGCATCCAGCGCAGAGCGGTTTGAATCGTCGACGACTGAGTCCTTACTTAAATACTGCTGTATTTCAAATGGTGAGGGTAGAGAACCGGAGATCCTTTTTAACAAATTTAAACCTTAGTAAATCTTAGTCCTTAGGAGTGACGACATATCTGCATATTCATCACTCTTATTCTATAAAAAATTATGGACTTGTATCTTAAGATATGACCGGTGCCACATGCTAATGTTTTTTCCTTTTTTGCGTCTGCCATTATACTTCACCACTTCGGGTTTGTCTGGGAGAGAATGCTAAAAGGCATTGAGTCCGCCGTTTGTAATCATGTGTGTAAGGTGAATGATAACAATAAATAAATATTTTTATGTCTTAATTCTTCACGTTTATTTCATAATGATTTCTTATATTTACGCGAACACTACACATCGAATAAAACTACTTTGACGGATTTTTTTCGCGTTTAATTAACTAATTTATCTTCATCATTATCATTACAGCCCTTTACTTCACCCACTGCAGAACATAGGCCTCCCCCAAAGAATGCCATAAAGCACGGTCCTGAGCCACCAGCATCCATCGACTTCCTGCATGTCTTACCAGGTCGTCACTCCATCTAGTGGGGGGACGTCGGGACGTCAATCACCTCAGTCCCCCGTGACCACGTGAATCAAACACAGTTTGGTTTCTTGGGTTAGTACTAACCCAGAACATGTTGATATAAGAATACCTACTACCCCATATCGTCCCGTGGGTGTCGTAAGAGGCGTCAGAGGAAAATTGAAACAGATGACGGGCAGCAGCATTTTCTTGATTACAACAAAAACTAATATCAAAAATGCGGTTGACAACCTGCTTACCAAGCGTGTCAACTATGGCATAATTCCCCTATTGATTGCCGTGACGCAATCAATAGGGGAGGCCTATGTTCAGCAGTGGACTTTCATAGACTGTAATGGATGAATGGATGGATGGCTGGAGTTCTCTCAGACATTCTATTAAGTCCACAGAGGTGACAACCCATCTGTGTTTTTATTTGTATGAAGTTTATTGCAGGTGCCCACTGGTTGCAATAAATAACCGTACTTTCAACTCTCATATATAAAGAAATACCTTATATATACTATATATTTTGAATCAACCAATTCGCAGTTAGTAATGAAAAAGATAGCAATTAGAACTATAGCCGTGCAAATAGTGCAAATTTTCTATGGTGAAACGATTTCGATGATTCTTTTTTGTTTGAAAGCTGGCACTTCTCGTGTGGTCCCATATGAATTTGATCAAGGTCAGACCAATAGTTTTTGAGTTATTCTTAATAACTTATATTGAAGTCGGCTGTACAAAATTTTTAATTTTTAATTATTTATTACTACGTTTTTATCAAATCGAATTCCATTTAAGTCGTCAAGGGTGACAAGGTATCTGCATTTTGATTCTTATCCGAGGATTAATTTAGATGTCTATGGGCCACAGCATTCACTTACCATCAGGTGGACTGTGTCCGTTTCTCACCCTTATTCTATAAAAGGAGAGTTAGGTTACTTATCTCCCGATGAGCTAGAGACTAGAAATATTTAACATAGCGCAGAATCGTAGGACAATGTAAGAATATGAAAAAAAAATGGTTTGTGAAAAAATTTTAATACATAATTTTAAAAATTCACTTGTTTCAGTTATTATGTACTTGACTACAGTCCATCTGGCGGTAATCGGTGAAAAAGTCCTGGATAGTAAATTTCACTGTATTAGAGTAACTAAAACCTATGCACTCTTGCCTTGACGGTAATACTGACACGGGAAAATTGCGCCACTCCTTTGCAGCACGCTTTACGAAAGACGAAGCAAACCATTTCTTTCGAATGCGTGGAATGTCGACATCAAGGGCTGGAGACTTGTCGAAAAAGGGGAGGGGGAATTTAAGATACTGTACTATAAAGAGTGTGCGTGTCGAATGCCTCCCCCCGCTGTAAACAGGACACTCAGCTATTCCATTTCATATTGTCCTTCAACGAAAAATTATGTTTGAAAAAATGTGAACAATAATATCTTTCTTAAAAAAATACTAGAAATATTATTCACACTACCAAAATACTTTTGTTAATTACTTCAACTTAGAATTAGAAGCGGCTTTACACAGTAGTCAAATGATAGATTCGAACCCATGACCTTTTAGTTTTACTGTCCAAATCCTTAAACGTTGGGCTGGTGTCAATTTTGATTCAATTATCAGACACTTCACGCTGGTGTCGTCTAATCATATTTTTTCCGTGTCACCCGACAGAGATTGACGATCTCCCGTCGCGCACAATATGTGTCAGAGACGCCGATGGACCGCCGTCACGGATAATTTGTCATTAAGCAAATTAGCGCCGGGGAAATTGATTAACCATGCTTGTTTGCACACAGCGCTGGGACAGATAGGAACAGTATGACGTTCACTTAAATAATATATTATGTGCCTTTGACTGCCTCGATGGTATGGTGGTCGTAACCGCGATCGCTGATCATGATATCTCGTATTCGAATCCCTGGTTATGCCAAAAATCTGCCAAAAGTTTTTTTGTCAAGAAATTCTCAAAAGCAGCCTGGAGTCAGGAAGTTGTCGGTGTTTCCGGTCATGCGCCTGATCTCTCTCCGGTCGTGTTGATTTACCGTCCCCATGAACTTTGAGTATTAGGGTATAGCTGGAAATAGCTTGCCTGTGCTTTTTTTATAATCCTGTCCTGCACAGGACTAATATCTGTTGATAATGGCCACCGTGACCAAATATCGGTTTGAGTATTAATGAGGTTTTTTAAAAAAAAAATCTGTTGAATTTTGCTCATTGTCCACCTGATGGTAGGTGGTTGCTGTGGCGCATAGACATCTACATCTATTTTAGATTAAGTATCAAAATGCAGATATGTTGTTACTCCTGAGGACTAAGTTAAAAAAGGGTCTTCGGTTACATTTACCATACGAAATTCAGTAGCATTATGTTAATAATTCGCTCTGGTATAGTGTAAGAGCGTAGTCATTGCGCTGCCCGGGCAGGCCGACCCATTCGTGCTACTACAATAATGTAGCTGCAGCGTGTCTTTACTTACGTATAAAGTTTTATAGTCCTTTTTCAGAGTATTTTTTAATGTTGGTACAATCTTATTTTCAATATGTTACCTTTTTAATGCCTTTATTTTAAATGTTTGGTACCTAAAGCAACCACACCACATCATTATTTCATTACATATGAACTGAAACATTATTTTTAATTACGTATAATACCAACACAATGCTGCTATGTGCTGTATGGTGAAAAATCGAAACAGGACAACCTATGTACTGATAACGAGGTAGATCTAAAATCGAGGACGGATATAGGACCTATCTGACTGAGCGACAGCTTCAACCATTACGTGGACTATGCGCTCGTTTGTCTGCTATAAAAATGCTCCGTTTGACAATTTCATTACCAAACAATAATGCTCCATTTTTAATTATCTTTATTATATATAGCTTTAAAGAAATACTGGTATTATAAAGTATAAATTGTCTTCGAAAGAAATTGTTTTTAAATAAATATAGTTTATAAATAACCCATACTGAAAGTCGCCATTATGCTTAATTTACCAGTGGTTCGGAAAATACCTTTATTCTGGAAAGAACTGGCAAGCAAACCAACGAGATATTTTTTGAAAAAAGAACATTTTGCAATCATTAAAGTTACACAAGAATTAACAACACAAAACAAATTAGAAGCAGCAATCATTCATAAAAAATAAGTCAGATAGAAGTCATGTCAGCTTTTTCACAGGGCAAAGTTAAAATATACCAACAATACAAATGTTGCCGCTTTCAAATCTTACATAACAGCAGTTGGTAAAATTTATTAAGTATTCCCTCTGCCGAATACGTGAGGCTTATTTAGAGTAGGCCACTCAAAGGGATAGAGGCCTTTGACTTTCTCGAACTTGAGATTTGCCACTAAAGGGAACTACTAAACAAATTTTTTGAAAGCTAGTGAAAATGTACTATATTATATTATATTATCGTCCTGCAACTGTGGGCAGAGATCTTCTATTTCAGAGAGCATTATGTAGCAAACTACGGTCTAGTGGCGGTGTAAGTCCCCTCCCGGAGAACCGGGAGAACCGAACACTCTTTGTACTGGAAACGTGGCTGAAAAATCTATTTTAGTCCTCGGGGGGTTCTGCGCATTTTGCATTTGGATTTTCGTCTCAGATGTAGCAGCTGATGGATAGACTGCGTGTTCTTTTTTCGCTCTTGTTCTTTTTTTTTACAAAGATGATAAGATAGCAAAATCAAAATTATCCAGTTGGCTTTAATCATAAAAAAATATTTAACTCTAATGGCAACAAATCTAGCAGTAAGTTGCTATCTATGATATTCCTTTTCTCAAATAAAAAAAGTGTAATTTATAAAAAAATATATTTAGAAAAGCATCAAAGAAACTATAAAGATAAAAAGATGTTTTAACAGTCTTATTTTGTTTGCAGACAGAACACTATGACCGTCTGTGTAGGATCTGGTGGATAATGGAAGTGTGTGTAATGGCCAAGGGCGTCGGAGTCACCTGTTGTTCGTTAGGACTATGCCTCGGTTGTTCGGCTGGAGGCCTCTCATCGGGCTGTCTTCCAGATCCATCATTAGCAGCCTCTTGTCTATCGGAAGGGCCATTGTTAAGTCTACCTATGTTGTTCACTACCGCATTAAATCCAGTATGGTCATCAGCTCTGTAATCTACTGTCCTTGTTACTCCGTCAGGCTGCAGAAGAGAATAATGACCCAACACGACGTCTCCTCGCCGATTCTCCTGTTGCCTCTTGAAGTCTCCAGTGTGAGGGTCGTTCACTTCATAAGCGAAGTTGTAACTAGGTGTCCGCTCTTGATACTGGATCGGCAGGTACAGTGGCGTTTGGTGCAGCACCATGCAGGTCGCAGATAAGATGAGAATGGAAAATATTGCCAGTTTCTGGATCATCTTGACGCGTTGCTTGATGTTGTATTCACAACTACTCTGTTGAGTTTGATTGATTGATGCATTTGGCTTAGCATTTATATTGAGTAAAGTGAAATATAATATTGCATTTCAAAGTGAATGCAATATGCATTTGAAATCCGATAGCGAAAGATGTGGGTACAACCCTGAAGGGACCTTTGTGCTTTTGTATATTTGTAGTAGTATGTACTTTATTAACGTCTAGTTAACTGTTTAATATAATATATGATTGTGAACTGTTTTTTATTTAAAAAAATGACCTGCTGGATTTCTTGCTGGTTTTTCCCAGGACAGAGGTATTTTCCGAACCAGTGGTAAATTAAACACAAGAGTGACTTTCAATAAGTAATTCGTAATAGGTATGATTTACTCTCGACACGTCAAGTTCAAGCAATTTTGTGTTCTTAAAATGACTATCATAACCATATTGCACTTATACGATAATATGAATAGCCGTATATTAAGACAACGCTCTAATTAATCCATCTTATTTTTTATAACAATATTTTTAATATAATTAATAGAATCAGGCGTTACTTTGCGGAAATCCATTATATAAAAGTTTTTAGAAAAATTTACTTCGCAAATATCCGCGTTATAAAATAAAATGATGTGTCTTATCTAGTATGAAGAGCACCTCCCGCCCACCCTCAATTGCGTGCACTATCCCGTTACCACTAATCCCAGCACCGCTACTCTCAACACCACTACACTAGGCAAGACACACCACTGACGATAATACTATCGTTTATTTTATAACGCGGATATTTGCGAAGTAAATTTTTCTAAAAGCTTTTAAAAATCTTTTTTTGGTACTTTAAAAAAACTTTGTAAAAATTTTTCGTGGTCGTCCGGATGTTGATTTTGTATGTGGTCGCGATAATTCCCGAAAAAATTGACATTATATAGACCGGGTTTTATTTATTATCTTCAGAATAACATGAACTGGTTACCTATTTCATATCAATAGCCTAGTACGCGTAGGTTGTTAATAAAATGATTTTGAAGTTTTATTGCTATTAAAAATTTAAATTCGCTTCGCAAATTTTTTTCTGACAAATTTACTATACAGCCTATATCGATTTTATACTATATGTAATCGATTTAGTTTGGTGAACATTATTATTTTTTTCCCTGTAAGTGACAAGTGTTAAAATAATAGATAAAGATAATAGATATATTTTAAAAGTCAGGTATTCAATTAATTTTTTTCATCAAAATTAAATGAAACGCTCATGAGCCGTGCACTTTTGGATTTTCCAAACTATTTATAGTCTATATTGAATAAAATATTTCTATTTCTATTTAACTATTGTCTGCGCTGGAAAATTTTAATGCTAACGGTATTGCCGTGTAGTGCTAGCGTAAAAGAATTCAGAACTCTGTATCATTTTGTGGGTTCCGTAAAAGACGGTATAGGACAATGGAAGAGAGAACAGAGAAAGAAATAATAATTATGTATTCGTAGCCACAACGCACTGCACGTATTGTGCAGAGCACAATAATTTGAAGGCAAAAAGACAAGGAATAAAGCTAAAACATTCAGACAATTTGTGAGGTCCGCCAGCACGTTTGTACTATAGAATAGAATAGATTATTTTTTATTCAATATAGATTATTAAATAATACTTATTGAAAGTCATTTTTTATTTACCACTGATTCGGAAAATGCCTCTGTCCTGGTAAGAACTAGCCATAAAACCAGCGGGACTTTTTTTTAAAAACATCACTTGACAATAATTTTGTATTTTTATTGTATAAATTTTAAATGAGTTTTAATAGAACCAACATGGTAGCGATCACCTCATTCCTAGGGGTTTTTTTTTTTTCACTTATGTACGTACTAGCGCGGTAAACTAATTGCTCCATAATCCATTTACAATAATTAAAGATGTGGGACGTGGACAGTATGACGTATATACATTGAAACTTAAATTATTTTTAGCATTATCGTCATGAGCCGTGTAGTGGCGGTGTAAGAATATCCATTACCACATGTCACCCCGTGGGTGTCGTAAGAGGCGACAGAGGGAAACACATCAAGAGATGGCTGCTGCCCATCTCCTGATGTGTTCCTTATAACGCATAAAAATAAACTGCGGTTATCAACCCTGTTGCCAAGCGTGATAATCTATGGGGAGGATTATGTTTAGCAGTGGAATTTAATAGGCTGTAACGATAATGGTATAATAAAGGTTAAAAGTCAGCCCAGTTAATTCAACATATCAAATGCTCCCAGACTTTCCGCCATTATAACAATACCGTTTCAGAGTTTCATCTATAAATAGAGCTCTGCTAATACATTCAGCTAGAGTTTCCAATTTTCAATGACTGTTTAAGTTAGGTTAAACTCCCCCGTCTTGCGTGTTCGTTAAATAAGTAATTTCTATCTGTAGACGACCTCGCTGCGTTATACTGTGCTATCTAGCGTGACTTGTCTCTCTCTAGTAGTTAAATGGAATTACGTAGCAGCAGCTGCTCTATCACATCACCTTATTTAAATAATAGATAAAATAACCTTTGTCTTTAAACTTAAATTAAAAAAAACTAATTAGTTTTTTTTTGGATCTGAATGCCTGTTTTATTCAGAGCCTTGCTGCAGCTATATTATGGTTGCAGTACGAATAGGTTGACTCGACCGGGGAATAACCTCGCTCTCACATAATAAATAAAATGGAATATGAATTCTCTTAAGCTACCGACTCACTTATCGTTACATTCTAGTTATTCACATAGATACAACATAATACACAGACTACGGACTTCCATTTGGCATGATCCTGACACACCTCAGTCGCCTCTTTTACCTTCATCATCCATCTTTTCATTCATTGTTCCACATACATTCAGCGTAACCAGACGGGCTTCCACAATCGGGTGAAAGTGATGGGTCGTGAACCTCGTCCCTGGTTTTACTACCGGATATTCTTCGCACACCTGCCCCATGAAAGGGGCGCCGAGAACTCAAGGCCATTTCTATTACTTTCTGCTTAATGGTGCGAAATAAGGGGTGGCTAAATTTTACGTCGCTACCACATGGCAAGGAGTGTAGTTTTCTTCTTTTTTTTTATAGGATAAGGGTGACAAACGAACACACAGTCCACCTGACGGTAAGTGGTTGCACCGGCCCATAAACATCTACATCTTTTCTCGATTACGAATCAAAATGTAGATGCGTTGTCACCCGTGAGGATTAAGATGTAACGCCTCGTTTCCAGTAAAAAGGATCTCCGGTTCTCTACACTCACCATACGAAACACAGCCGCGTTAACCTGATATTTTACGTTGGTCTTCTGTGAGAGCGTGGTCCTTCCCCGGTCGAGCCGACACATTCGTGCTAAAACTATACCTACTACTAATATAGCTGCAGCATGACTCTACCACGTGGTAATCTTCTTTCGACTCTGTCGCTCGTTTGGCACCACCCGAGGGGACACGTGTAGGGTGAGCCTAAGATAGCCATACGTATATATATAACTAGCTGGAATTAAAAAGTTGTGTTTTTCACTTACTTATAGGCTAGGTTTACTGGTAGAGAACTCCTTAAGGCGTTAAGTCCACCTTTGTACATTTTATTTATTTACTAGCTGTTCCCCGCGACTTCGCTCGCGTGTAATTTAGGGTTTTAATTATATTGCTCAGAACCCTAATTATTTTGATTAAATGTAAGTAGCCTAAGTTACTCCTTAGAATATCAGCTATATTCCAGTGCAAGTCGAAAGTTCCCGTCGAAATCGGTCCAGCCGTTTCGGAGATTAGTCAGAACAAACAGACAGACAGACAGACAGACAAGATTTTTAAAAATTGTGTTTTTGTTATAAGTACCGTATATACATTCACATGCATTTAGTAAAAAGCTGTTATTTTAACATTACAAACGGACACTTCAATTTTATTTATTTGTATAGATATGTATATATATAATGTACAAAGGCGGACATATCGTCATTGTGTTGGAAAGGTAAAGCCAATCGGTATCGAATTACCTCAAAGGATGTTTTTTTCAATAAAGTCCCAGAAAATGTGCAAGGTCTGTATTTCATCAAGTTTTAAATTCTTACTAAGCGGAGGCCTGGCTGTAGTTTACCTACAAACGAGTGTTTATTATAATATTAATGAATTCATTCACAGCCTATCAAAAGTTCACTAATGAACATACATTCATTGGGGGATTATTTGCCATAGTTGCCATACTTGGCATGCGGTATGGCTACCGCAGTTTTTATTATTCCAACTTGTTATCAGGGTCTTTTTGCTGAATATCTCCTGTATACATGGTAGATATTTTCCACTGGTTATGATATTGTCGTACTAAACTGTTACCAAATTAATTTTTATAATTATAAAATGTTACTTCGTTATAAACGTTGCGTTTCTTTCTCTTACATCCCATAACACGATAAGTAACGAGTTAAAACGATAATAACGTTTTCTTTTCAACTCGATACTTATTGTTTATATTAATATGTTGTATACGGTTTTGAATGTACATACATATACTATATTCTTTTTTGATAATACTTTTATAAATACCTTTGTACATTTTTCTGTATAGCTTAATAAATAAAATGAAAATAATACAGCTGTACTTCGTATGTTAGTTTCATTAGTTCGATTAGTTACATCAGGAACATTGGCATCATTAACAACTATCTAGGAAAAAGAAATAAAAGTAAAAATATTACTTCATATGAAAATTTATAAAAAAAATATTTGAAAAAACAAGAATGATATCACATTTCATAGAACCAGAGGAGTTGAAATCCAGAAGAGTAATTCGTTGAAGAGATTTATACCGGAATACGCTTTGAACCTGATTTTCAATCACTTAAAATTATCTATTCCATTCAATTGCAAAAAAAGACTAAAAAGAAAATTTTACATAAAGGTACATTCAGTAGTCAGTAGTCGATAATATGCCGTCGCGTGTGGTAAAGTTGTTGGGTAACTTAGTAGAGGTTCACCATCTGTGAAGTATGTGA